AATTTCGCTTTCTAGGGAAGTGCCCTCGCCATTGTTGACATTTTTGAATCTATGCCAAAATATAAAATCGGAGAGCTTACGAAACCTTCTTGAATCTATGCCAAAACAATTTCGTTCGTGGTATCTTTAAAAGAATCGAAATCTATAGCAGTCTCATAACGATAGATTTGTCTCTAACAATCGAAATCGTTCATGATATTTATTTTGTTCCTATATTCTAACAATGGGAATCAAACCTAATTTTAATTTGATTTTCAGATTTATCTATCTGATTTGATTTTCCAAATTTTTCTCTAAATAATTGAAATTAATTTGAGAGAAATCGATTAGATGCATAAGAAAAATTGCAAATACGAAGAAGAAGATCGATGTTTGGAATTTTTTCTTTGAGAATGATTTTAACCAAAACGACGTCGTTTTAGATGATAATTATTTTTAAAAGGTACAAAGTAAATCCACGTATGAAAATAATAATGGTTGACTAACGGAGTATTAGTCAAAGTATGAAATAGCACAAATACAAATGTTTAGGTATGAAATAACGCAAATACAATTGTGTAGGTATGTATTCGCATAGGTCACGAGTACATGCCCGTATCGGGACCGTGCGGGTATGAATCGGTCATTTCCCCGTGTAAATGGTAACCGCATAATTTCTGCTGAATTGTAAAATTTGTTGAACTTCTGCTGAATTGTAGAATTTATGCTAAATTTGCTAAATAATATGTCAAATTTAAATGGTAACTGCGGAATTTGCAGAATTTGCTGAATTTGCGGAATTGTGTTATCATTTACACCCTATATATTTACTTAAAATACTAAAACTTATTCTAGAAAATGAGATAATGAATCGTTATAGTTTTGCTTCGTCTTTTTCTGTTCATTCATACGCAAATTTGAAGTGTTTTTGGTCATCTATTTTCTTCATCTTTATATCATTAATTAATTTTATATTGTCAATATATATGCTTTTTTGGTTTGAATTATATTTTATATATTTAATTGAATAAAAGAGCGTCGTCTTTTTACATAGATAGAACATGTCCTAGTTTAATTACGTGAACTTTTTAACGCATTAACTTAATTTTCATATTTAATAACATTATTTTATTATTTATAGAAAAGAAAATATGCATAATTATTAGTTTTTAAATTTATATGCATGTAAGAAACTTATATGAAATCGTGAAAATTCTAGACTTTTCCGTTTTGTAATTTTTGTAATTGTATTGAAATAAAAAGGAGGCGTTGAATAACAATATCTAGAATTTCTTTAAGTTAATACACAATTAACAATTAACATATTTTTGAATAACAATATCTAGAATTTCGTTAAGTATGAAAACTTTTGACAAACTATTTAAACCCAATTAACATATTTTGAATTCAAAATGTAATGATTGCTTATAGTATGATAAACAAATGACTTCTTAATGTTATTTGTAATTAATCTATACCATCATATTTTCTTGTTATATAAAAGAAACATTTGTTTTCGTTTTTAATGTGTTCGGATCCAAATTCGAATATTCAGACCTTAAAATTTTGTTATCCAGTTCCGGACTCCCAAGATATCTTAATTTTATGAGCGAATCCAAACGGATATCGGATCGGATCCCGGATAATAATTCCACCCTAATATTAGTAGACTATAGGGTTAACCCGGTTTAGTTTGGTTCGGTTAAGCTGATACCAGGATATTAATTTTTCTGGTTATTGTCTTTGTTTTTCATATCTTTCAGGCTATGTTTTGAACAAAAAGATTCTCTGATTTTTCCATATCCGTTAGTTTTATCAAAACTAGTCGTTTATAGAAAAGCATACAAACTCTGTTTAAATAGTGTGTTTGTTCAAAACTGTAGCCCAGATCAGAGCAGAAGTTATATAATCTCTTAAAAAGTTTAAAAACTAGTCTTCTTGATTGTGTTTCACT